TTCTTTCTTTCTTTTGGAATATGGTCTTCCTATGCAGTTTCATCTCACCCCACATTTCTGACCCCCCTACCTGGCCTCCTAAGTGCTGGGATTAGGCTTCACGCCACATCTGGCTGTATGATTCTCATTTGTGCTAGGTGATCTTACAGTTTCCAAGAAATATAGTAACTATGTCATTGCTCCCAGAGTATGAGCCATCTGAAGATAGACTCTCCAGATACCTTGTAGCATGAAGTCCCAGAATTAGTCTCTGAATTTGAAAGTCCTACTATTTCTTCAAACACCTCCGACAAACTACAAGATTCCTATCCAGTTATTACAAGAGTTACTATATAAGCCATTCTAGTGATAGTTTTGAATAAGGTTTAAGGCAGGACTGGAGAAAAAGGGTAATGGTAAATTACTTGTCGGCCACACTAATCTCTGTGGGCCTGCGACTGCACAAACATCAGTTTTATTTAAGGCTTGGGAAGTAAATGGGAAGTGTTTTCATGAATCTTGCATGACAGAAAGATTATCTGCATGAGGTCCAGATATGTAAAGCTAGAGAAATACTGTGGCTCCAGGGTCTGGTGATCTTTAAGGCTGAGGAAAAAAATGCCTAATAGGCAGAGGAAAAGTGAGGGAACCGTGCACGACAGACAGCAGTGTAGCGAGAGAGGCGGTGACTTCACAGTTACTTCCGGCAGGAACTCCTGCCAAGACCACTGAAGGAAACAGCTCATTTGAGATTTTAAGAGGGAGCAGGAAGCACTTCAATCTTGACTCGGCCACTGCTTTGCATAGATGGGTAATTAGTCATTGTCAAGTGGACTGACGGATAAGTACGTGAATGAAGTGAACTTCCACAATATTTTTCGATAAAACAAATAGCAAATATGATAGCCCAAAGAAAGTTTCCTGTACAAATTCAGATAATTAAATGTATATGTTATAGGACAATGCTTGCTTGCTTCTGTTGTGCTTGGTGACGTAGTAGTTAATGTATCAAATCTACAGCTATGTGTGGGTCCACGTGTATACCCATATACACAGCTGTATTACAGGTCTGAAAAGTCTTTAAAGGAAGTAGGTTATTTAATAAGCTTTGTGTGTGTGTGTGTGTGTGTGTGTGTGTGTGTGTGTGTGTGTGTGTGTACACACACGCATGCACACAGATACTGGGGCTTGAACTCAGGGCCTTGTGGTCTTGTTTGGCATTTATGTTCTATCCCTTGAGCCATATCTCCACTTCAGCTTTTTGGTGGATAAGAGTCTCACAGACTTTCCTGCCATGGCTGACTTTGAACCAGGATCTTCAGATTTTGTTTAGGAGTAACTAGGATTGAGTAGCTAGGACTACAGGTATGAGCCAAACTGCTTTAAACAATTTTAGAAGTATGTAAAGTTTTGGGAACAGAAGACAATGTTAATATCTAATGTCATAGCTATTATTCAGTAGATACTTGTTGAATAGATAAATGGCTTTATTAGAATTCCTCTGATAGTAGTTGTTAGAGCAAGTTTTGAATATACTAGCTAACTAGTGTGTGTGTGTGTGTGTGTGTGTGTGAGAAAGAGAGAGAGAGAGAGAGAGAGAGAGAGAGAGAGAGATGGGGTATAATAAGCTCTAATCATTTTATGTGGATTTGCTTGGTTCCCATCTACATCGCTTCCAAGTGAGCCCTGTTTTGATTGTAAGAGGTAGGCACTCAGTGTTTGCTCCTTTGGCAGAGGGAGTGCCTTCTGAGAGAGAATTTGAATGCAAATGTGGCACCAGAGCCTTTGTGCTAGCGCTGCCTAGCGCTGGCAGCCGCATGCCCCAAGCCCACGCCTCTGCTAATAAACAACCCCGAGATCTCCCAGGTGTGAAAGTCAGGTCTGCTGCCTTCTAACACCCTTCCCACATAGCCTCGGTAGCCCATCAGTTCACACATGTAAAACCTGATGAGTTTTCTTACTTACCTTCTACTTACCTTGATTTAAATAACTGTTGGATGCTTTTTTGTTGTTGGTGGTGGTTGGTTGTTTGGTGTGTAGCTTGACCTCAGGGCCTGAGTGCTGCTGTTAAGCAAAAAGAGCTTTCCACTTTGAGCCTTAATGCCACTTCTGGTTTTGTGGTGGTTAATTGGACTTTCTTGCCTGGGATGGCTTTGAACCACTCTCTTCAGATCTCAGCCTCCTGAGTAGCTAGGATTACGGGTGTGAGCTCCTGGTGCCCAGTGGGTGCTCATTTTTAAGTGTTTCAATATCTACAAGTGAAAATAGGTAATACGTGCTTGTTTTGTCCATCAGTTTCTAGTGCTTAGAGGTAATCACAAAGAAGAACACACCACTTAAACCATTTTAACTATTTCTTAGCCATTTCCTCTTTTTTCTCATAAGATCAACTTATTGATATGGGTCAGAAAGCAATATACATTTTCATCAGTTCTTGTGTCTAGTTATTAATGTGATGGGGTTGCTTTGTTTTAGAGCATGCAGAAGTATCTGTTGCCCTTATATTTCACTATTCATAATTTTGTTTTCTATTTCATTCATTTGTGTTATTTCTGTCATTTAATGTGTCAGTCAGTATGTACTTTTTGCATAAGTATATTTTGGAGAGTAAGGAAGATTCTGGAACTCAAATAAATCTTCTTGGGTAAAGAAATTATTTAAAAAGAAAAACCTTTAGAAACAGAGGAAAAGGTTATAACTTCTCAAGAACATTACCTTAACCTTTTCATGTAGTCTGTGATTGCAGATCTAGGTGTGTGTGCGTGTGTGTGCGTGTGTGTGTTTGTGGTGTGTGTGTGTGTGTGCGTGTGTGTGTTTGTGGTGTGTGTGTGTGTGTATCGTAGCCTTTATGAACACCTTTTTCTTTGGCAAGCATAGAAGTATAATTTTTAATGCTGATGTTAAGAAAGATATTTGAATACATTTTATTCTCCCCTGCAACTCTTTCTTTTCCTTTTTTAACTTCAGTTTGCATAGCACCTGTAATTAAGGAAGAAAACCGAGTCCTGGGAGCTAGGTAGGACTTTCAGCTATTGATCTGTGTAAAGCCTGCTTACACTGTCAGGGGAGAAACAGTGAACTGTGGAGCTGCTTTGTCACTGACATAAGCTCAGAGAGGATGCTTTTTTTTTCTTTTTTGGTCTATACTGTTTATACACTAGTCTATAGACCTGCTGGCTGGCTGAATTTTAAAGAGTGCGGAGGTTTAAAGACCTATCCCCTGAGGGTTGCTGCTGCCAGTTGGGAAGCGAGCTGATACTGTGGTGCAGGCGTGTGTGCTTGGAGGGAGGTGCGAGAGCAAGATAGGGAAGGTTTCTTCTTAATTTAAGTCTCCGCATTGATGTGGGGTATATGACTGGTTTGGGTATGTTTAGAGGTAGACATTGCCGTTTGCAGAGTCTTTGTTGGCACAGTTTCGTAGGAAGATGTCTGAATAGCACTCAGATAGGTAATAAATATGATGAATGGCCTCAGTCTGCAACCCACGATAAAGACTGAGCAGTAGCCAAGTGACAAACAACTCTTCCCATTTGCATGGAACTGTGTTTCTGTAATTGATTTCAAATTTTCGTGACCCTCCCCTTGTCACGTGTGACAATATTATCCATAGTAAAAAAAACAAACCCAAAACTTTCTCTAAATGCAGTTTGTGTTCAGCCTTCTAAAGACTCAGGTTCACAAGCAAACCTGGGGGCCTGCCCTAGGGTGGGAGGTGGCGTTTCACAGACTGCTTTCCTTCTTGCTTCTGTGAGCTCACGCTCCTGAAGCTCTCTTAGGCATTGCTATTGGGATTCCAGTGTTTTTATCTCTTAATTGCTAAATGCAGTGTACATTTTAAAAGCATTTGAGCAATTCCTCTTTAAAAAACTCAGCGCTGTGTTTATATAGAGAGTTTGAATATTCAGGTATTGGTGATTCTACAAGTATAAGTTGTATTGGTAAAGAGGTGATAGCTAAAACAATTTTGAGTGAGTAGGAGAGATTAATTGGCGATAATATCAAGGTACTTGCTCTGTGGGCTTTTAAATAGTAAGCATCTTCATCAGTCTGCCTTGTCTTGTAAGATCACTTCGCTTTGAATTAGTAGGAAGTTGTATTTAGTACAACTTTTGAACCAGGCTTCCATTTTAAGCTGTTTTTTGGGGGGAGGTACAAAAAAATACATTTTTTTCTATTTTCTGTCGAGTGCCTGTTTGTTTGCATTTTATTATAATTATTAATGCAAATGATATCTAAAAATAAATTATAATGACTATGTTGCCATTGAAGGTTTTAAAATCAGAATTTGTTTAAGGCTTAATTGAAACCCTGATTGTAGTATGAAGTAAAATTTAAAGGAAAATACACAGAATAGTAGTGAGCTATGTTTAGCTTAAAGGGTTACTTTTTTAAACAATATTTGCATTTCTAAGAGTATTTAGAAAAAGAAAACAGTATCAAATGTTGAGACATATTATTTTTCTTACACTATAGTCTTTTAAAAAAATGTGAATAAAAACTATTGGAGTATGGGCCATGGAGAGTTATTTTACCCCTCAGTAATTCATTCTGCTGCCAACCTCCTTCCCTTTTCTCTGCCTGCATTTTAATTGAAACAACATTTATATTTTTGAGCCAGGATCTGTCAGAAGTCCCAATGGCTAGCCTGTGGTACAAGTAGCAGCAGACGGAGCTTCTCCATATGGTGTGGTGCTTCTTGTAAAATCCATATGGCCTTGTTGAAGGCTACCCCAGCGGGGATGCGAAGGTGTTAATACCCTTCAGGCCAGGCTGCTCCCTCCTGGGGCCTCTGCAGCATTGTCTGTACAATCTGCCCAAGACAAACTTAATTCCTTTTTAATAATCAATTATTTTAGTCTAGGAACCTGTGCTAGTTCACTTAAAGGAACAACGAAAGAACAACTACCCCCTTTCTCCCCCCCTCCGCCCCCTTCTCCTAGAAAATGTCTTTTAAAAAGTTTTAACTGCATCTTTAAAAACATATGCTAAAGTATCTTCTTTATTTTGCATTGCATTTGTAGGAAGTGTTGCAGAGTGTGCCAAAGTTCTGTTTCCCCTTTGACGTGGAAAGGTATGGTATGCGTCCGGAGTGAAAATAAGTTTAGTCCATCTTAGTGAATGCTCTACAAATGATTGCGTGTTTTTGTTGTTTATTTTTACAAAATGAAATAATACCCTATCCTTACAGTTTCCAGAGAAGCACTGGAGACTAGAGCTTCACAATTAAGTAATGAGGAAGCCTACTGGACCAGTGTATCTTTTTCTCCACTGTGGTCAGCTAGGAGTCTTAACTCGGTAGCACCAGCAGGTTCTGTTGTTTTTTTTGTATTCTTTGTGTATGCATCTTAAGTGGTTGCAGAAAAATATGCATCTTCCAGCAGAGCCTTCAAAGGATGTCTTTGAAAGTGAGATGTAGAGAGCCTGTTTTCGATCTCGCGCCTTCTAATAGGAGAGGCCATCTGTGTAGCGTTGGGCCTGTCATGGTTAGTGATCTCCTGGGCCAGCCGGCTTCCTCCACAGAAGCGTGCGGCACTGGGTGAGGCTACAGGAGATCTTCCTGAAGGCAGTGTGGAAAACTTTATTATTTTAATATTTTACTGCACAGATACGGAACAAACTACATGTCTGCAGTTGGAATTCAGCAGAATACATAGCCCTCTGAGCATAATAACAGGTCATTTATTGTATGTCATGTGATTTTCACACCCTATTATCAGTTTTCTTAAGAGTGTGATAGTTTTGTTTTCTTCTTTTTTTTTTTTAAAGAAAATTTTTTTTCTAGGAAAATACTTTGCAAAGGATTAGTAAGACTCTAAAGTTTTACTATATTAAAAATAAACTGTCTGACCCTGACAAATGACACCCCTTGTTTTACCTCACTTTTGGGGAGACAACCATGCCCCTTGCTCACCCCCTGTATTACAGTTTCCAAATCAATCGTAAGAATGAAATAGGGGAAGAAAAGCTATGAAAGAGTGTTGTAAAACTTGAGCACTAAAGGCCACATCAGTTACTGGGAGTTTTATTTGAAGTTTACAAAGCTTAGATAAACATAGTAAAATTTATAAAACTTTTTAAAGACTGTCTTCTTATATTTGTTAAGTATCCAGCACTTTTTTTTGTTAGAGTAATTTGATTGTATTGGTACATTGGTAGTACTTTATTTCTCTTTTAAAAATCCATATGGCTATTTTTCAACCTGAAGTGTATAGGTGTTATGGCTATTTTACTTTGGGAAAGGAACTAGAAGTTATATTACATTTAATGCCTAGGTTACAGGACAGTTCCAGAAAGTTATATTCATATGTTTGAAATAGAAGGAAATATTATTTATCTAGTGATTTGTATTATCCCTTATAGTGCAATGTGACCCGTTATAGTATTATGATTCTTAAGCAAAAATTCCTTACAGATTAGCTAGTATGCTTCTTTGGTAGAGACTGTCTTCTTATTTGCACTGAGAAATTGTTCTTTAGTATATTCAAAATTTTAAAAGAGAATGCTAAGAAAAACGATAGCGGTAGGGTTTTGTGTGGTGCTTCCTTGGGTCAACAGGCCAAGCAACTGCAGTGGCTATTGGTGGCTGCCATTAGCTTCTAAAACAACTTGATTTGCTGTCTAGGCAATTAACAATTAAAAAGCAAGAAAAACCTTAATTTGGAAAAGAGAGGCTGCAGTTGAGTACAAGGACGCAGCCGTGGGTGGCTTCTTCTGAAGACTGGGGAATAGTATCTTCATATTTAAAACAATATATTGCCGGGCGCTGGAGGCTCACGCCTGTAATCCTAGCCATTCAGGAGGCTGAGATCTGAGATTGCGGTTCAAAGCCAGCCCGGGCAGGAAAGTCCGTGAGACTCTTATCTCCAATAAACCACTAGAAAACCGGAAGTGGCGCTGTGGCTCAAGTGGTAGAGCGCTCGCCTTGAGCTGAAGAGCGCAGGGACAGTGCCCAGGCTGAGAGTTCAAGCCCCACGACTGACCAAAAAAGAAAAAAAAATATATATCGATGAGTACTTTTAGCCTTACAAAACTTATGGTACACTCCTTCCAGTTTCCTGGTAATGAATTAGTAAGTAATAAGTTGCCCAGCCTACAAAACACAGCAAAGATATTTTGATGTTTGAGTCATGGTTTAGTTTACGTTTGATACTTGTTCTAGTTTTAAAGCATAATTTTAGCTTCCGGACCCAAGTGATCGGGAAGGTAGAACCAATGCCAATGAGAAATATTTTGTTGCCTTTGTCTCTCTGAAAAAAAGATGTCGCACCAGGCTGAATGCTTCACGATGTTGCTGTGTTTTAGGGTGTCTCAAAACCAAGTTGGACAGCACTTTACCTTTGTGCTGACAGACATAGAAAGTAAGCAGAGATTCGGATTCTGCAGACTCACATCAGGAGGCAAAATTTGTCTATGCATCCTGAGGTAAGTAACAATAATTAAAAAAAAAAGTAGCAAAAGAAAAGTACCTGTACAACAGATTAGCTCTGTCTTTTGTGTTTGTTCTGCTTGGGATCTCCAAAATATAAGCAAGACAAAAGAAGCCCTCAGCATTTGTTTCTTTCATTGTCATCATTCTGAATTCAAGTTACGTTGAAAAGTGATTTCCCTGGTATTCCATATAATTTAATTAACCAGTTGGGTGTAATGAGTTAGCAATAACATGGTATATATAAATATATACTATATATATGTATATAGTATTACATATTCTTTTTCTTGAAAGAACTAACTCTTTTAAAGATTGGATTTTATGGATTTATTTTTGAAAATTAACATATCACCTCAAATAATGTATGAGTTGCACATATTGAATAGGATATAAGTATTCAATTTAATAAATGTGAGCCATGTCTGTCTGTACCACAACTTGGCTTTAGCAAAAATGACTGGTGATGGAAAGCCGAAAGCTGGCAGAAGTTTGAGGGGTCTGTTTGACGATTGGATTTTTTAAAACTTTCAAAAGTTGCTATTTCTAATTCTCATTGGGAAGTGGTGACATCTGCTACTTTGGTCCTGCGCTTCTGACTTCAGCAGCAAGCTGGGTGCAGCAGCAGGGGCTGAGCCATACTATGATCTCTCTGGTACCAGTTCCCACCTGACCTACTTCCGTCCATCCAGCACGTCTTCCTCCATTCAGTGGGTAGCTGAGGGCGAACCTTGGATCTGAGTCACTCTGGAGAGGATGGCATCTACAGGTTAGCTCTCCTGGAAATGCAGTGTGCTTCACAAATCCAGGCGGATAGTCTGTAACAAGTGATTCTGTGCTGTTACCCTGCAGCTACCCTAGATCCTGCAGAAATGCTGAGAGGAAAGAACTACATTTAATCTGTCAATTCTCATAGTGCAGAGAAACCCTTGGTGTAAAATTGATGGCTTCTCACTGCACCTTTCAGTGAGATGTTAATAGATTCAGAACAGTTGATGGAACTGGAGAAGCGGTGGTTTCCATCTTCCCGGCGTCATGGCTTTCTAGATCAAACTGAATGTCTTCTTTCTTTTAGAGCACAGTTTTTTGGTTCCCTAGCAGTGATATTTAAAACATATACGTTATTGAAGAGTCTTACGTTTCAAGACATAGATAGGTGGATGGGTGGTGGAGATGGGCTTGTGGAATGGGGAGAGTGGGTGAGATGCATGTCCTTTTATGCCTCCTTTTTTTTTTGGTAATTTGACAGTGCTTTCTGGTAGGTAAGAAATAGACATGTTATCAAAGTTCCATGAAAAAAAATCATGGAGAAAAACTCCATTGTCTAGCTTATTTTTTCTAGTAAATTCGAAAAACATTTCCCCTTTAAGTTTTAATGGTTTACCTCGGTCTGTGCTGTGAGCCTGGGTACTGAGGTGTTCTTTGAGAGTAGCCCGTAAATCAGGTAGCTATCTAGTTCTGACGGTGAAGAAGGCATTAGTAGAAAATCAGCATCTTAGTCAGAAAAAGACTGTGGATAGGTCAGTATTTATATGCCAGCTCTTGGCAGTGTTTGTTATTTTTGAGTAAATGATTTTGATCCATCACAGAGTTACTGTCGTAGGACAAAGAGTGGGAATCCAGTCCCGGTTTTCCACCTGGCTTGGGGTTCTCCGTTGCTTTAGATAGAACTTATCATTGTTGACCAGAACCCTAAAACTAAATATACTATTAAAAAAAATCCCGCTGGCATAAATAAAATTGCTGGTAGCGAGAGCCTTTTGTACCTACCATGAAATTCTGAAATCTGACAGGGTGGTGTAATGGTGATGATGTAAACTTATGCTTGCTGACAAATATTAACAAAGAAATTAATTGACTAGTAGAGGTAAGTTGATAATCGATATAGCAGAAGGTCAATAACTATACTTTATAAGCACCTACAGATTACTTAGAAAAAGAACAGAAGTCAGGTATGGTGGTGTTCACCAGAATGCCCAACTAGCTTCTTGGGAGGAAGAGACAGAAGGAGTTTTAGTTCAAGGCTAGACTGGGGAAAGGTAGTGGTGAGACTCTATTAAACAAACAAACAAACAACAAACAAAGAAAAGAGCAGGGGGCATAGGTCAAGTAGAGCTTCTGCCTAGCATGTTCAAAAGCCCTGGGCTTAATGTTTAGTACTGCACATTAAAAAAACCCATACATATATAAAACAAATAAAAACAATTGGAAAACAAGCAAAGCGCTGGAGAAATTTATTCACAGAAGAAATGTAGAGTCTTGTTTCCATAAGACTTGTCCAGACACATTTACAATTTTTAAATAGCTTATCAAATAAGGGATTAATTATAGTACTTACGGCAATTGGTAAGATAGATGAATATATTTAAAGTGATTCATGAATTGAAAATGTTCCATTGACTTTCATTATATCCTTTATACATTTCTCGAATTTTTGTACATGCTTAATCTGACAATTGGTAGCTTTTCTTTTTTCTTTTCTGATAAATTGAGATATTATACCAATATGATTTTCTTTCAGATTATGTTTTTTAATCAGTTACTTATATCTTTGCCTGAACTGTGTTATGATTTAGGAATATAAAAAATTAATACCTTGCTATGATTGTATAAGATTAGTATATCTTTATTGAAGTTGCTGTATTTTTAGGAATTGTACATCAAGATCATACTGGATTGGTTTTGGTATTTATTCTCAGGAGCAAATGAATTAAGATTCTTAGGCAAAATTAACAAGTGTTTCTTCCATTGTCTCAGTAATATCTTACTCATTACAGTTTTCCTATTGTTAGTAAATGTTATTCTTTCCCCCAGAATCATCTTGTTTATTACCTGCTTATGTGTGAATTTGTTTCATAGATATGAAACTGTGTGTGTGTGTGTGTGTGTGTGTGTGTGTGTGTGTGTGTGTGTGTGTGTGTGTGTGTGTGTGTGTGTGTGTGTGTGTGTGTGTGTGTGTGTGTGTCCTAGGGCTTGAACTCAGGGCCTGGGCACTGAGCTTCTTTGCTCAAGGCTAGTGTTCTATCATTTGCGCCATAGCTTCATTTCAGGCTTTTGGTGGTTAATTGGAGGTAGAAAGTCTCATAGACTTTCCTGCCTGGGTTGGCTTCAAACCATGATCCTCAGATCTCAACCTCCTAGGTAGCTTGGATTGTAGGCATGAGCCACCAGGGCTTGGCACTCATATCAAATTTTAACAAGAAAAATATTTATGTCTCTTGAGTTTTTGTTGATACCAAACAGTTGAAAATACTTTATATTCTTGGAAAAGAGTAGTCAGAATAAAAGTAGTGAATACATAGAAGGAATTTAAAAAGATTTTATTACAAAAATCTAAATTAACAGAACATTTTCATCAGCACCAGCAAAAAATAAACTTTGTTAGTTGAAGTTTTGAATAGCAAGGACTCTTAGGCTCTTAAATATGAAGCTAATAAGCAGCAACATCCTTTAGTGTTTGCTTACTACCACTAGGTTCTCTGCTTCTGTGACTTGTGTCACTTCCAAAACTATTCCTGCAGTGGTCTGTGTGTGAGCCGTTGAAGGAACTATGAGGTTTACAGCTAACTTAGGTTTATCTTCAAGTTCTAAGTGAGACTGTCTGCACCAAGCCATGAAAATAATGTTTATTTTATTCCCCCTTCTTGGACTTATGCTAAAAAATGTTTAAAGGTCAACATGTTGTTGTTTGTTCTTTCTTAAATTTCTATTAGTTTTGTTTCCTTTTTAGAAGAGAAGTTAGATTTCAGTCCAGAGTAATATGGAAACTGTTACTTATTTGGGGGTTATTGTTACAAGTTTTATTTAATTCTTTTCTCTGACATGACTTCAAAAATACCCTGAGATATCACTAAATTGTCCCATTGTTTGTACTCAGGATTGCTTTAACTTTTTTTGATGGGGGGATTGCTTTCATATACTAGCAAAAAGTGCACAAGATACCTTTTCCCCCCAACTCGATTAACATAGCTTTACAACTATAAAATTGTCGCCAAGGGTTCAAAACTAAATATTCTAATAAGCAAGACAGATTTATGTCGCGGCCTTGGTAGTTCCCCTTGCCCCTTTTAACTTAGCCCAAACCAGGACACTTTCCCACTCTTCCTTTGAGCAAATCCCTTAGGGAACAGAACGTTTCAATTTTACACATTTTTGTGTCAATTTTCCAGACAGAAAAACAGCCTCTAGACATCAGACGTTTTCCTACCCCAAAAGGCAGTTTCCTTGCTTTTATTTGATTACTCCGTTAGGTTCCTGCTGATCATCCAGTGTTAGCGGTTACCTGACTGTTTGACAAAAACCATTTCCTTCCCTTTATTTAACCTTTGACTTTGGAATGTAAAAGTTTTATCAGCTCGAGAGTGGAAGTCCAAGTGTTGGGGAAATCCTCTTACACAGCAAAATGAGCGCAAGGATTTGTATTATGTCTGTTTTCTGCCTGCCTTACATCTTTGTTGAAAATTAAGGAAGTGATCATATGATGAAACTTCAGAACAATTGGCCCTCCAGAATAATTTGTTATATTTGTGTATACTCACAAGTCTAAGGCACATTTACTTTTTGTTAAAAGAAGTTATCTTTACAGTGTTTAACTATTCAAGAAAATTATTAGATTCAAGTCTTCTAAGCATTCTGAATATAGGTTTTTCTTTAAACTTTCTAGGCTTTTTGTGGTAGGTTGTGAACAAAAAAAAACAGTTTGGGAGTAACTTTGGAAGTATAAGATTTAGTGAAAAACCTTTCAACTCATTGGCAATTAGTTTAAGCATATAATTTAATTAATTTGCTGCTTTGAACACATATTGTTTGAAAATTACCTAAGAAAAAACCAAAAATAAGCATATAAAGTTTATGCTGTTTATAGTATGCATTTTTGCAGATTGTTCTATTTTCAAATAAAATTCTTACACAATTGAGAGATTTGATGACATTTTGAATTTGGTCCTTTTTTGTTTACATCCTTTTTACTATGTTCTACCAGTGGTATTTCCAGAAGTCACAAAAGGTAATTGCATATATTCAACCAAAAGTTAGGTAAATACATTTATATATGATAGGTGTCTTCATAGTACTAGTATTTGTAATCATCATTTTAAACAATGATATTACTCTGCTGAGCAAAGATACTGTAGTTTACCTGGTACAACTTTTGCTAAGATGTTAGGTTTCTACTGATTCATAAAGTATCATTCATTATCACAGATAAATAATACTTTACATGAAAACATTCTGATAGACTGTCTAGGTGCAATTCACTGATGTCTTAAATATATATATATATATATATATATATATTTGGATCCGGTCATGGGGCCTGAACTCTGGGCCTGGGCACTGTCCCTCAGCTCTTCAGCTCAAGGCTAGTGCTCTACCCCTTGAGCCGCAACGCCACTTCCGGCTTTTTTCTTTTTGCTTATGTGGTGCTGAGGAATCAAGCCCAGGGCCTCATGCATGCAAGGCAAGCGCTCTACCACTGAGCCACCTTCCCAGCTCCTTAAATATTTTTTATCCTTATTTTCTCATCCATGAACAATTATGTAATAAAAACATCAAAATGTATTCTCTTAAAACTTAGCTTATTAAACTAATGCTTTGAGGGAAATAATGACTGTTAATTGAAAATCAGCAACGTGGTATATTTTTGATTTACTGTTTCTCTGGAGGGGAAGTATGGGCAGGTTTTTTTATATACTGTTATGTTACATGTTTTTAAATAAGGAGATAATTTTCTGATTTACTGCTTAGTTTTCATAGAAGTATATTTTGATTTAGCAAACAAAACTAAATTTAACTTTAAACAATGTTTTATTTTGGTGTCTAAAAGCTTTTTGTAGTTTTACACTTTTCAGAACAGGCTTTCTGGTATTTGTAATAATAGTTACTTGGAAACTTGCCATTCTACTTAAACATAATTTCTGAAGAATTGATCAAATACAGAATTCACTTGTATTACATGCCCAACTTAGTAATATGTTTTGAAAGTTTTACAAAGGATCTAGTTTAGTAAATGAGAGTTAAAGTAGGAAAAATGGCAAGAGAAACGTTTCCTGTTTCCCAGCAGGAGCTGCAAGTTCGGTGATATTTAAAAAGAGTGATTGCATGTTATTCTGCATAATGATGAGTAGGTGGACAGGCAGACCGCCTGAACTACCTGTGCCACCTGTAATACAGGCCACCTGCACAGTGGTGATCCCATAGGCTAGATTCCATAGTGGCATTAAGGTGTCTTCATACTTTACATAAGCACCTATACATGCTCACGTGAAGAAACCTTCCTGAGGTAGATTTCTCAATTTTTTCCTATAATTACATAACATCGATAGGTCATGTGCAGTGTCATTGTATAGTGTCTTAAAAGCTCTTTAAAATTAGTATGTATATATACGTGTATATACACACATATGTGTGTGTATGTGTGTGTACATGTGTATATATATTCGAATGGTGGGTGATATTTATCCTGAGTACAATTAGTGATTACTATGAAATAGGATTAAATAGTTTTAGATAGCACTGGTATAAAATAGAAGCTCATGCTAAACAGCTTTCACAATAGAACTTTGACTAATTTGTTTTGTGATAACGAATCATAAGATAGCATGTGAGTATTTTGTGCTGGTGAAGAGAATATGGGTATATAGTTCTTTCTGCTTTTTTATGATCAGCCTGTTTGAAACAGTATGTAAATTTGATGTTTATTTTTATTGTATTTTAGTTTTTACTTATTTTGTTGTTTATTTTGAGGGCTTGTTTCTTGATTCTACATTTTGAATACATATGCATATATATATATATATATTTCAATTTTATGTGTTGAGGAACATATATGCATAGAGATTTATATAACTTTTTTTTTAAACAGTTACCTGCCATGGTTTGAAGTCTATTACAAGCTTCTAAATACTCTGGCAGATTACTTGGTAAAGGAACTGGTAAGTTATGTTTTTCTTACTGTGTTAAAATAGACACAATGGAAAACGTGCCGTAGTAACTATTTTCTGCATGTGGCTCTGTGGCGTTCGGTGCATCTCTAACATTCTTCAGCTGTCCCACTGCATTTCTCTGAAACTTCATCTTGAAAAACGCCAGGGCTACCCATGCCGCTCTTCTCTCTGCCCTGGCCACCACCATTTTCCTGTGCCTGCCTGAGTCTGTGCCTCTTCCTGGGGTGGAATTACAGTGCTTGTTCGTATGGCATCGGCTTGCTTTACTTAGCATGGAACAGTCAAGGTTCCCACATAGTAGCATAGGTCGGAATCTCCTTTTTAAGGCCGAATAATGTATCTAACTGAAGCTATGCAATCTGTTTATTCAGTACACACTTAGCCTGCATCCACCTTCTGCCTATAGTGAATAATACTTGTATGATGCTGGTTGCAGAGCTGTCTCCACCAGGTTTTAGGTTCAGGGTTTTCCTCTGCATAACTGGAAGTGTAAATGCTGGATGATGTGATTCTTAGGAACCACCATGGCATTTTCCACAGTGGTTGGAACATTTTACATCCCCACCAGTAATATACAAGGGCACTTTAATTGTGTGTGTGTGTGTGTGTGTGTGTGTGTGTGTGTGTGTGTGTGTGCGTGCATGTGCACGTGTGTGTATGTGTGTGTGCACACACTGATAACAGGGGCTTGAACTTGGGGCCTTAGCTTTTTTGCTCCAGGCTAGTGCTCTACCACTTATACCATAGCTCCATTGCTGGCTTTTGGGTGGTTTGTTGAAGATGAGAGTCTAATAGAGTTTTCTTCCAGGGCTTCTTTTCAACCACCACCCTCACATGTCAGCCTCCTGAGTAGCTAGGATTACAGGCATGAGTCGCCTGTGCTCAGCAGTTTACTGTTTATTTCACTAACTAAATGGACTTTTCTTTGTTTCAGGAAAATGATTTGAATGAAACTCTCAAGTCACTCTATAACCACCCAGTACCAAAGGCAAACACTCCTGTCAATTTAAGTGTGGTGAGTACTTACTTAATCAGTGATGATGCTCTCTCCCCCGAGAACATCGGAAGTTGTTTGTTCACTCACCTCTGTCTCCAGTCAGAGTTCAGTGATAGCTCCAGCATTACTTGGTGATATTCTTGAGATGTTCCACGTGCTACAATCATAAGTTGATGTATTAGTTTTGTAGTTTAGTAGCTGTTAAATTATAGAATAAAAATTGATGAACCAAAAATAACTAACTTGCAAGGATATTTTGTTGGAAGGAATATTTGTTTTTTTTTCAAGTGAAATCCACACACACTAAGAGGAACACACATAAAACCACTACACCTTCCAAAATGAAGAGTACTTAATAAGAGTAAAAATGGCAGAAAAATAGGAAGGATGAGAATTCTGAATGAGAAGTGGCTCCTTCTGTCTCCTCACACTGCAGTCTAGTTCGTAGCATAATCACACCCCCCCCAAATATGACGTTTGCCAAAGGAAGGCAGACCCTTTGGCAGACTTGCTTACTATTAAATCCTTCATCTATTAATTGTGCCTTAAAAAAAATCTAAAACCACATTTCTATGTTTGAAGTGGTTATAAACATTTCAAGTTAATGATAAAATGTTGAATGTTTAATTAGGATTCTTCATTAATTTGTTACTCCAATTCGAAGGTTAAAATTTATTTATATTGATTCTGTCTCATCCAAATTAATAGTAAACTTCTGTTTCAATAGAGAAGAAAAAAGACAATGATGCAGGAAAGACTGAGAGAAAGGGAGCTAGAGATGTGTGCTGTGCTGGCAGTTGTGCATTTTGTTTTATCTTGGTTCCTATGGTTGGCATGCCAGCCTCAGAGCTGGCTGCGCCCCTTTGTTCCTCCCACCTCCTGTCTGTCCCCTCTTCTGCTGCCCACTGCCAAAGTGGACCTGGTCAGTTTTTTTTTTGGTGGGGGGAAGGGATTAGAGGAATGGAAAGTGAAGGATAGCTTTGAATTTTTATTCAAATTTGGGCATTACCAGCAGACATAGCAGTAGCTACTTGAAGATTTGATTTTCGGGAGCATAGAGGAAAGGCTGAGGTGTATTTGCCCACACAGCCTATGAAGAAGAATTAGAGGAAAGACCACTTACAGAGACACTCAGACTTCGGATCACCAAAGCCAAAGAATGCAGGGATCTGAGTGGGAAGATCAAGAACAACCCAGAGACCTCTTGGTTTTCCAAAAAGAAGCCATCATTCTTTGAAAATAAAAACTTCATAAAATAGCATATTGGGTTAAAGAGTTAAGAAAATGTAGGTGCTTAGGTGATGGAAGGCATTATTAATAAGTTTAAAAAATGTGTTCTATTCAAATTTGTTTTACTTTGTTTTTAATTGATACAGTATCTCAACCAGCTTCTTGGGTACTTTACTACACATATATACACCATAGTGGTGCAGTGAGGATAATCGCACTGGATTTCTCTGCTCCTATGAGATTAGCTTTTTTAGATTCCACAGAAGAATAAAATCATCTAGTGATGTGTCTTTTTGTGTCTAGCTTATTTCACTTAATATCACATTATTTGGTTCATTGGACACTGCCACAGATCATAGGATTTTATTTTCATGACTGAGTAGTATTCTTTTGTATATATACATGCCTTAAAAACTCCAGACATCTGTTGACAGACACATATCAATTCTGTGTGTTGGCTCTTGTGAACAGTGCTGTGAACACAAGTGCAGAAATTCCGATTTCCTTTCCTTCCGCTACATTTAGGGGTGGGATTGCCAGATCATATGGCAGTTCTATTTTTACTATTTTGAGGAACTTTATAATGTGTTCCATACTGGCTCTATTCATTTACATCCCATCAACAATGTACAAGACTTCCTCTTTATATTCTCCCCAGAATTTGTTCCTTTTTAAAAATCTTTGTGAGTATAGCATTTTAAGGGGTTGACGTTATAACAAACTTATTATAGTTTTGATTGACATTTTCCTGATGATGGATGATAAGTATTTCCCAGGATATTTTTTGGATAGGTAGGCTCTTGAATTGGCAATCTATGGTAGTTTTAAGGATTGTAGTTTCTTTTTTCTATTTATTTGTTTTTATTGTTATTGTATTCTTTTCAAGCTTGTATGTTCAAGTTACAGTGTCTGAAAAGCTGGACACCTTTGTATGAAGTTCATTACTGATTTCATTTGCTTTCAACACCAGGTTACTGAAGTAATAGGCCCAGTGCTATTTGACCAGTGAGTGGCAATTTGGGGACTGGAACACTTGTCCCCAGTTAGTAGAGAAGATTGTAATTTTATGTTGTCACATTTAAATTGATGATCATGGAAGTTTTTAATTTCCTGCAAGTAGATTAGTGGTTTCTAGAATATCAGAGATTTTTATGCACAGTTAATTTTGTAATATAAATGACTGTTTTGAAACCATGTCCCAAATTATTATTATATTCTACATTCTCCATGCAATCTATAAAAATATTTTCTTTAGCTTGTTTTTCTAGGGTAAAGTATTTCCAGTGGATAATGTAGCTACATGCATTTGTGTCAAATTCACAGGAAATATTTGTGCAAACTTCCCCCCTAAAAGTAAAATATTCGTTTTTCTCTCATATATTGTAAGAACCAAGAGATATTTATTGCCAGTGAGCAAGTTCTGAAAGATCAGCCCTCACTAATACCGGTGAGTTAAACGACACTGACATCTTAAAAAAAAAAAAATCACTCTAAAGTTGGAAAACTGATTTTTCTTCTCACTGATCCTTAACACTTGCTCCAGCTCTCTGGGAAATGACAAATTGACTTCTGTAAAAAAAAAAAAGAATCACTTGAAATATATTTTCTGTTTATACTATCTTTTTAAAGCTCAGTTTTATGAAGTACAGTCTTACAGAGAAAAAAATCCATCCAAATAAAAGTAGTTAACTGAGATCTGATCTGCATGTATCCCACATGCTCAGTAGTTTGTGGAAGTACATTCTCAGCATGAGATTCGGGTCACACTTTTTGTCACGAGATTCTCTGGTGGCTGATCTTAATGGTTTTTCCACCCTGGAAAGTCATGCATATATCTGTGCCAACCGGCCTTGTCTTTATTTCAACTGTGCTCTAATGTTAAATGTTTCTTTTCCCATTTTTAAAAATGATGAGAGGGAATTAAATGTATCCTGATGTGATCAAGATAATCAAATAATTTTGGAGATGACTATGAACAGAAAATAAAACATACTTTTGATCATTAAGCTGTATTTTGATTCTGGGCATTAAAATTGGTGGAACTTGTGGGGAAACACAGCCTTTTACACAGTAGACCTTTTATAAGAGTTGTAATGTACTGTTGAATTGCTTTGTTCATTGGAGGAATTAATTAATGTTTGTTTTTGGGTATAGATGAGTAGATGCATTTTAAATTTTGAACATTAAAAATGACCATTATTACTGTTTAAATAATGTACTTGATGATGTTTTTATGAAAAATATTTATTGTGATTCATCATAGTAACTCTGGAATCCCAGTAGACTTTGTTTGATGTACTCTTGCTTTATTTTTACAATACACTATGGTTGTTTTAAGAATATATATTCAGAAATTTATACTATCTTATAGTCATATAACACTTTTTTGGTTAGGCACTTATTTTGACTTAAAACTTTTCTCAGGATTCTTTTTTTTTGGGAGGGGGGTCCGGTCATGGGGCCTGAACTCTGGGCCTGGGCGCTGTCCCTCAGCTCTTCAGCTCAAGGCTAGCTCTCTACCACTTGAGCCACAGCGCCACTTCTGGCTTTTTTCTTTTTGCTTATGTGGTGCTGAGGAATCGAACCCAGGGCCTTAGGCATGCAAGGCAAGCGCTCTACCACTGAGCCACCTTCCCAGCCACCTTCCCAGCCCTCTCAGGATTCTTATTCTACTTCTGTCCAATTTTAAAGTGAACTATTTCTATTTAATGCCCTTTATTCGAATTATTGTTACATCTCATATAAACCCACTGTGTCATTTACAAATCCAAAATCTGTGGCACTTACTAATTTAATTCATGGATTCATTTCTTTTGTTGGTTTGCTTCATTCCAGATTACATGTAATACCAAATTTTAATTCTCCTTCCCATCTGTGCTTTGTTTCCGTTGATTAGCATTCCTACTTCATTACCCCTGATGTCACTGGACTCCCAACAATACCAGAGAGTGTAAGTTTTCCATTTTCTACCTCTATTATTCCACTTACGTGATCATTTGTCTTGATCTAGTTGTTGGTGGATTACTGTCTAGAGGAAGAGGACACGCTGCAATTGTCTATGTTTCTGAGTAACAGTGGCAAGATAGGAATAATGGTATTCTCTCCTTTTCATCTTTGTGTGTCTGCCTCGTTAATACCTTTCTTAATGTCTTGTTGGTGGAATGAGGGGAAGTGGTAAGGTAAGAACTGTAAGCCCTAAGATTCCCTGTACCAAAACCGAGGGGCTGTCTCCAGACCTTGCTTCTACCAAGGGGGAAGAATACCAAGGAATGCATACCAGGCACAGGAAAGTCTTCGCCCAGTCACTTCAGGACCAAGCCCTGAACCTCGCCCTCCTGTATGCTGTGTCTGCCCACTTGATTTCCTTTACAAGAAATTATAAAAATGGTGACTGTTTTCATTTTCACCTACAGTCCTCATTATATCTGTACTGGAGGGAGAGAGTTTGTCTCACTAGTTACTACTACGGGTTTTTTTGTTGTTTTTTTTTTTAGGAAAATTTACATAGACAAGTGGAAGTAACTTAGGCCTTTGGATAACTGTGTGAAAAGGAAAGATTCCCTTATGCAATTTTTCTTATGGTTTCCTCGGAAAGTTAAAATGAGTCAGGAGGAATAATTCAAAAGCAAAAGCAAAACCAATGGGGAAAGCTCTTTCTAAATGCACTTCTTATTTGCCTCCAGTATTTGCTGGTTTTCCATATATGTTTTCCAACCTTCTGAATGTTTTCTTTCTAAAAGCATGTAGATAGCCAGGTACTGGTTGCTCACACCTATAATCCTTTGTAATCCTTGCTACTTAGGAGGCTGAAATCTGAGGATCACTATTTGAAGCCATCCTGGCAGGAAAGTTGGGGAGACTCTTGATTCCAACTATTCACTAAAAATACGCCAACAGTGGAGCTGTTGCTCAAGTGGTAGAGCATTAGCCTTGAGCACAAAAACAGAGGGGCAGTACCTGGGCCTTGAGTTCAAGCCCCAGGACTGGTACGTGTTTGTGCATATGCAAACACACCTGCCACATTGACCTGGTATAGTAGCTTATGTTTGTATTCCAAGTACTTGGAAAAAAGTGATTGGAAGGGTGTGACTTGGCACCAGCCTAGACGAACAAAAACACAAAGAAACAAAAATCATCAATGTCCCATCTTAATCAATAGATGGGTTGATAACATAGATCTGTCATCTTAGCTATGTGTAGGTGTAAGTAGGAGGATCACAGTTCAGGCTGCCTGGGATGAAAATGTGAGACTCTAATCAACAATTATAGCAAAAAGAACTGGAGACATGGCTTACGTGGTTGAAGACTGCCTAGCCAGTGCTGGGACCTGAGTTCAAACCCCAGTCCTGCCACATGTTCCCTCCCCTTCCCCCCCATTTCTTCCTCTACTGTGCTTGCTCCAGTTCCTCTGCCTCATCTGTTGGGTGTCTTGCATAGATGACTAATATCAGACGATGATTTTTGCCTGCAATGGGAATGGCAAACACAGAAAGACTCAAATGCATTTTCTAGAGTAGCATTTTCTCAGAGACCAGTGCATATAGGAATCACTCAGTGTTAGGACAACACTTGGCAGATAACACCACCCTTGGTGTGCATTGGGTTCTGGGCCGTTCACTTCCTTGCAGACAGGTGGGGTATGGCAGGTTTGGGGACCCTGTGATCAGGAGCTGAGCATTGCCTTGGTGGAGCAGGCTCTGCCCTAAACAATATTGACAGCTTTAGTGCTTCCTGTTGGTGGCAGAATTGTTTTAATGAGGGCCGCCTCGAATCTCATCATTAAGACGTTTTGGTACAAGTGTCAAATGTTCTTCGAATTCAGGCGAGCTGCAACTTATGCTGTTCTTTTTCCCTCCTGTCCAGAGAAACCTCACGGAGTATTTCGTGGCGGTGGACGTGTACAACATGGTGCACCTGTACGCCTGCATGCTGCATGAGAGGCGGGTGGTCATCACCTCCAGCAAATTAAGCACTGTGAGTACTTCACACCTCCCTTTCAGCCGCCACCGGGGTCGAGCGGCTCACAAAGGGACCCGAAAACCTCTGCAGATTTAGAAATGCGCGGGGCTGTACGTAGGAGACAATATCTACATACTTTATAAATATATGGTTTTAATCTAGCTCTTGAAGTACAAAAGTCTGAGTTATAGAAGGCCTTCCCAGATGCATTAAGTCAGGTTAATTATTTTTTTTTCCTTATCAGGAGATGAGGTTTTTTTTTTTTCCTTTTTCCTTTTTAACTCTCCAGAGTTCATTTTTGTGCCTTCTATCACATAAAGAATTCTTAAGAGCTATTATGAGATCTTTATTATTCACTTGTGGCTTTTTCCATTTGAGCTACTTGAAATCAAGTAGGCTGCGATAATAGTGGCTACCCCAACCTGGTAATAGGTGGATTCATCTTTGTTGCTTGCTCGTGGTTTGGAAGCAGGTTCTATAATAATTCTGACATGGAGGAGCTCTTCAGACTGATAATAACTTAAAAGTCAGAGTGGCATTTTTATAAATCACAGGTTTTATGACACTTGCTAAAATGGTCTTTTGGAAGGGCTCCATTATTGCAGCAGAAGTAAGGCAGATAAAAAGATGTTTCTTGGGTCATAGGAAAGTATTCAAATATATTCTGCTTGATTTCATCATTTTTTTCTTCATTAAACAAAAAATTTGTATTTCTGTCTTTTTAATTTCATTATATGTTTATGTAAAGTTTTGAGTCATCAGTGAAATATTGGAAACTATTATTCATTATTATATGAATTTGCTTTTCTATAGTTTTTACTTGATAAAATAAAATCATAGGTTTATATTTTATACTCTTTTAGTAGAAATAAAAACTCTATATAATATTTTAGTGTAATAAAGTAGAGTTTTAGGATACCTATTTAATATTAAATAGTGAAAAAAAACCCGTATTTTTAGAGAAGTCAAATGGCTACCTCCAAGGCCAACAGATTGGAAATAGAATATGTTTGGGTTATTTATGTTGCTTTGTAATTGAATTAATACAATTTGGGGATTCTTGGATATTCAAACTCAATATATGGATATTCAAACTCAATATTTTTGCTCCCAAATTGCTTCCATTTTGCTCCCAAATTGAAAATATATATTACATATTAAAAATATATGCGTTTAAAGATGTCAGTGACAGAAGCAATTATTTCTTTCTTCTGAAAGCTCTTGTAGAGGTGTTTAGTATAAATGATTAGGTACTTTTTACATGTTTAACTTTCTATTTTTGTATAATCAAAGCAAAACCATTCTTTCCTTGTCATCCTATTTTCTTAAACATGGTATTTTTTTCAGGATTATGAAGGATATTTCTAGAGGGATTTTTGCCTGAAAGATTAAAAATGTGGCATAAATTATAGGACTAGGAACTGATTCATGCAACAAATATTTCTTAGGGACATGCTAAAATGCCAGTAGTATGAGCTCACAGTACATGAGCTCAGCACTAACTAAGCAAGACAAAGCCCAGCTATTTTGGTGATGATATGCTACTACTGGAATGAAGTAGCCGAGTGAATGGACAAGTAAACAGCTAGTGTGTATTATGGCAGTGACTACTGTCGAAAGGTCCAGTGTGTGCAGGTGGGTGTGAGAGGCGGGTGTGTGCAGGAGGAGGTGGGTGTGTGACCAGGTGTGTGCAGGTGGAGGTGGGTGTGAGAGGCAGGTGTGTGCAGGTGGAGGTGGGTGTGAGAGGCGGGTGTGTGCAGGTGGAGGTGGGTGTGAGAGGCAGGTGTGTGCAGGTGGAGGTGGGTGTGAGAGGGGTGTGTGCAGGTGGAGGTGGGTGTGAGGCCAGTGTGTGCAGATGGAGGTGGGTGTGAGAGGGGTGTGTGCAGGTGGAGGTGGGTGTGAGAGGGGTGTGTGCAGGTGGAGGTGGGTGTGAGAGGGGTGTGTGCAGGTGGAGGTGGGTGTGAGAGGGGTGTGTGCAGGTGGAGGTGGGTGTGAGAGGGGTGTGTGCAGGTGGAGGTGGGTGTGAGAGGGGTGTGTGCGGGTGGAGGTGGGTTGAGAGGCAGGTGTGTGCAGGTGGAGGTGGGTGTGAGGCAGGTGTGTGCAGGTGGAGGTGGGTGTGAGGCAGGTGTGTGCAGGTGGAGGTGGGTGTGAGAGGGCTGTGTGCAGGTGGAGGTGGGTGTGAGAGGCGGGTGTGTGCAGGTGGAGGTGGGTGTGAGAGGGCTGTGTGCAGGTGGAGGTGGGTGTGAGAGGGGTGTGTGCAGGTGGAGGTGGGTGTGAGAGGCGGGTGTGTGCAGGTGGAGGTGGGTGTGAGAGGGGTGTGTGCAGGTGGAGGTGGGTGTGAGAGGGGTGTGTGCGGGTGGAGGTGGGTTGAGAGGCAGGTGTGTGCAGGTGGAGGTGGGTGTGAGAGGGGTATGTGCAGGTGGAGGTGGGTGTGAGGCGGGTGTGTGCAGGTGGAGGTGGGTGTGAGAGGCGGGTGTGTGTGCAGGTGGAGGTCAGTGTGTGCAGGTGGAGGTCAGTGTGTGCAGGTGGGGGTGGGGGTGAGAGGTGTGTGTGTGTGCAGGTGGAGGTGGGTGTGAAAGGCGGGTGTGTGCAGGTGGAGGTAGGTGTGAGAGGTGGGCTTCTGCTTTCCATGTGCAGGTGGCTGTGTGGAGGCCTCCAGGGAGCTAGAGTTCAAGCAGAGATCTGCAGGAAGATGAGCCATGAGGAGAAAGCCTGAGCTCTCAATTTAAGAAAACAAACAACTCACAGTGGAGCTTTTTAAAGAATATCGGCATCTTTGTTTTAATTTATGTCTCTTTTTTCATAACGGAGACTCCTGTCCTAACTTGGTTTCTTCACACGTAGAATGAGAAAGGGAACTCTCTTCACCCCCTAGGATTGCTACAAAGTGCCAAAGACATGGGAATAAATCAAAGATATATTGAGCCTACAGAGGGCAAACAGTCATGGGACTGTTAATATAGTTTTCTGACAACGACATGTGTGCTTACAGCAAAAATGTGCCCATATTTTAACATCATATTTAATATAAAACCAAATTATTAATGAAGCTTTTTGTTATTATATCTGGGTTTTTCCCTATGTTCCATGTCAACAGTTGTTTATGACAATTCACAGGAACTTTTAGTGTTGTTATCTCTTAAGTTCACAGTTCCATTTTAGTTTATTCTCTGGGGAAGTCGAGGTGATAAAGGAAATGTAATTCAATTCTCTTTTCTGTTCTTCTTCCCCTTCTTCTGGGGGAGAGGGTAAGGAAAGCTGCTTTGCTTGAATCTTTCTTGAACAGTTCACTGGTATGTACAGTATGTATATATATGTATGTATGTATGTGTGTGTATATATATTATGTGCTATAAATTCTATGCATAGTAACATTTAAGGTCAAAGTCTAGGATCATAACATAAACTAAAGGCAAACTTTTTATTACTAAAACAGTTAATGAAATCTTTTTAAAAAATGACCAGTTAGTTGATATTTTTTTTTTTTTTTTTGGGTCCGGTCGTGGGGCCTGAACTCTGGGCCTGGGCGCTGTCCCTCAGCTCTTCAGCTCAAGGCTAGCGCTCTACCACTTGAGCCACAGTGCCACTTCCAGCTTTTTTTTTTTTTTGCTTATGTGGTGCTGAGGAATCAAACCCAGGGCCTCAGGCATGCAAGGCAAGCGCTCTACCACTGAGCCACCTTCCCAGCCCCGTGAGTTGACTTTTTTTATATTTTTGTATAGCATAGAAACTAAAATGCGCTTAAACTTTATGCAAGAAATTGTACTTTGACTTTTGATTCTCTTTACAATTCTTGTAAGTGTACTTGTAAGCTAAAGTACCTTAGAAGTTCTCCTTGGCTGTGTTAGTTTCTTTTCCGCCATGACAGTGTTTTGATGCTGATGATAGACTGAAAGGTGTCAACCGTATGTCTTCCTGTGGCTTTCTGTGAAGGCACCGTGGCGGAGACTCAGATACCTTGAGGATTCTGTTGGTGAGGTGCTGTTTGTCCCTAAAAATAACTTGCAATGTTTACAGAGGTAAAATACAAAATAGCACAGTCTTAAGTACACAACAACAACAAAAACCAAAGAGGATTTTATGATTTAAAAGTTCCAGTGAGTTTCCCTGGCACTCGCAGTGCTGTGTGAGGCGTTGGGATTTCTTGTTGCGGTTTTCCATGTGTGGAGTTTGATGGACCGGGACATGACCTGCCTTGTGGTGATTCTTTGGTTTGTGCTCTATGAGTGGTTCCTGGCGAGTCTGAACATAGGCCTTGACTTTAGGCATGCTGTAGGAAGGCCCCAGACATTTAACCTCCGTGTGCTTCTTGATAGACCGGTATTAGGTCAGTGTCATCTCTTCAGAGCCGAAGAAGACATCATGGTGGTACAAGGCTGTTCCTTGAACCCATTGCTGTTGTGTGACCATAGGTGGGAGGGACTGTTGTTGAAAGCCGTGTCATCAGTCTGCAAGTCACTCAGGCATGGAGCCTTGTCATATGCCTGTCTAATTGTCCTTCGCCAGACTTTCTCTAACTAGGCAGCTGGGGCTGTGCGTTTGGTCCCAGACACTCGGCTGGCCAGCATCTGACAGCAGCCTTCTTATTGTGCTGTCAGTAGTATGTTAACTAGACTGGATCTGTGTGGCTTGTAGCGGCAGGTAGAAGGATGTTTCTCTTTAAAGCAGATGTCTAAACGTTAGCTGCTATTTTGGCCAACATTTCATCTCTGACTCTCCGCCTCTGTAAGCTACAGAGTTGTGATTGCGTAGGGCACAGTTCAGAGCACGCAGTACGCTGCGACTGCTGGAATTGTGTTAATAAACTGTAATTTCTTCCTTTGTTATGGTTGCCCCTAGGCGTTCCACATATGCTTTTCTCTCCCTTCCTCATTAATTCCATCAAGGGCATATGCAAAAACAGAAAGCTGTGATCTCCGGAAAATCAGCCCTTAAAACTTAGACGTTGTGGGGCTAGTTAGCCGAAAGGGGAGTCCAGAGGATTTTAACCTCTCCATCTGGGTTGTGTGTCTCGA